CCCCGAAAGCTTCTCACTTGTAGCGGCTTCCTGGTCAAGTCGGGCCCCTCCTTGTTGGCTTCCTGCTGAAGCTCATGAGCTCGTACCCAGGAAACTTGCTCTTCACCGTTTGACCCCGAGGTTAGGCCTGCCTTCTTCTTGTGACTTTCCTTCTCACGGGACCCGAGCCACTATTTGCTCCTCTCAGCGCACCCCCCAGCCCCTGCCACGGTGCCTGAGCTTATTTCTGGACTCATTTTTAGAGAGATGGCAGACTTGGTCCACACCAGCGTAATTAAATCAAGAAGTTATAACAGGGGCGCCTGGGTGGCTCAGTCGCTGAAGCGTCTGCCTTCGGCTCAGGTCATGGTCCCAGGGTCCTGGGATCGAGCCCCACATCGGGCTCCGTGCTCAGCAGAGAGCCTGCTTCTCCCTCTGCCTGCTGCTCCCCCTGCTTGCTTTCCTGGTCTCGCTGTTTCTCTCTCTGTCAAATAAATAAATAAAATCTTAAAAAAAAAGAAGTTACAGCAGCACATGTTTAACAGGTTAGAAATTACCTCTGGTGGGAGCCAGGAGGTTGGGAAAGTTGTCTAGTTGAATCCCCACTCGTTGCTGAGATGCATTTCAAGGGAGCCTGGACAGCCTGGCTGCCTTATGCAACCCTCCTGATCTTTGTGCAGGTTATGTCCTGGTCGTGAGGTGTCAGAGCATCCCTAAAATTCTCTGCTCCACCAGAGGCCGTGGGAAGGTGCCATTCTGGAAACCTGTTGGTTCCTTAACCTCCGCCCGATGGTCAGGTTGCCATCTTCCTGGGCAGAGCTGCACACATCTACCCGCTCTCCTTCTTCCTCAACTTGGGCAGAAGGCATAAGATTGGCTGGAACTTTCAACACATGATGATGTTTTCAGGTAAAACAAAACAAAACAAAACAAAAACCATACATGTAAAGAAAATGAGCTTTATTCGGCAGGAATGTTAGCATGATTAAAATATCATCAATAAGTTTCATAAAGGGACAGAAGTTCAAATTCCTGGTTCTTTTGTATCCCCTGCAATGCTGAGTAGACTGATGTACATGTTAGAGTTAATATTGATTTTGCAGACTAAACTACCAAATGTGAACATTCTCCCTTAAAATATCCACATCTTCATTTTTATCTTTACCACCTGTGGGACCTGGAGATATTTAAGTATTTAAAGTGCTTGATGATTTTCTGATAGATGTTCATAACCCTTAATCTTCCAGAAGGGCTCCAGACCTAAAATTAGGAAGGCAATAGGCCTTTAATGAGAAAGAACACAGGCCAGGTCACTCAGTACCTCCCAGCTGCGGTATCCACTCTTGTAAAATAATAAAATTGAGCTAATTGAGTTGAGGTTCCTCCTAGCTCCAACTTTGTCTGAAGCATTAAAAAAAAAAAAAAAAAAACCAACAAAAAAACCACTTGCATAAACAAGATGAGCCCCAAACCGGAAGTTAACGCTGTGATAGTTCTGCTTGATTCATGCTGTCTCCCAGATGCCCCCCTCTCCACCATAAAGCTGAGAAGTCTGCAGAAGCCACTGAGGGGACAAAGGACAGTAAAATATGCAGAGGTAAAGGAAGGAGAGAGCAGTTGGCATGAGCTGACGGTGCAGTAAGCGTCAGGCATTATAGACGAGACCCAAGTCAGAGGGTCTTTGCAGAGCTGAGGGAGGAGATGGGGCAGAAGGCCGCAGTGATCCTTAAAGGTACCGCTGTCCTCTTGGGGGGGGGGGCGGGGCTGCACAAGAGGCAGAGTGAGTAGCAGCCCTTGACTGTGACGTCGTAGTTCTCGGGGGGCCTCAGAGTCTTCCTGAACACTCAGCAACAGGCACTGCTTGGCGAAGCGGTTGCTCTGCGTAGTACTTGCTTACAACTGCACTGAAATAGGCAGCCTTTCCCTCTGGCAGATGTTCATGGAGCATCCTCTTTTTATAAGCCACAGTTCTGGGTTCTGGAGGAGACAGAGACCGCCTCCTTGCAGGGCTCCCAGTCCACTGTGGGGGAGGCAGGTGTGCAAAGAGCTAGCTTCCTCTGGAGAGAGGGTGACACATTGCACATAAAAGGTGTGGAATCAGGGTGGAGAAGAGGAGGGCCTGGGGCCATCTTTACCAGGGGGGCAGCCTTCCATCTGGACTTGCCAGACGTGGGTCTCACGAGGCAGCAGGTTGGACAAGCAGGAGAGCATTGCCAGGGGTGGCTTTTGCCAGGAAGGGCAGCAGCGTGGTTTCGCGGTAAGACACAGGGGCTAATGCAGAAAGAGGGTGAGGTTGGATGGGAAAATTGCATCTAGGCTGCTGTGAGCCTTCAGGCGGCATCAGAACTACCTGTTGGGCTGGTTAGAGCCCCTCGCCGGGTCCCACCGCCAGAGTGATTCTGCAGGTACGGGCTGGGTGCCAAGAATCGGCATTTCTCACGTATTCTCAGCTGCCGCTGCTGGTGGTGGTTTGAGAACCACTGTTGGAGTCTGGACCACAGAGAAGCCCCAGGGCTGTGCCAAAGCGTTTGGGCTTGCCTCAAGAGCAGCTGGACCGCTTTAGAGGTTTCTGAGGAGGTCACACCAAGATCCTCCTTCCATATCAAGAAATTGTTGCTGGAAAAGAGCAAGACCAGGTGGAGATAACTCAGTCACCTGGATAAACTTAAAGTATGTTCATTATTTCCTGTTCTAAAAGACCGAGAAGTACACAGAGCTGTTTAAAGATATCTCCTGTAAAAATTATTTCCTGCCGGGAGCAACCTCACCATCGAAAGGAACTCAGTTCTTCAGAGTGATGAAAAACCCAAGGCTTCTCTATCATATCGCTCACAGCGTTTACCTAATAAAATAAAGACAAATGGAGCACACAGTGTCTCTCTCCGACCCCCAAGTTTTCTTCTTTGAGACAGCATCCCTTTAGAGGCTTAAATATTGATCGTTGACAAAGCTGGCTGTTGGGTGGTCTAGATGTGCATAAGTGTCTCCCTGGCACCGAGTAATAGAGAACGTTAACTTCGTATTTTCATGTCACTTTTTGGAATCATTCTGTAGTGAATTGTGAAGTTCTCAGATTAGTGAATTTGCAAAATTATCAGGAAAGGTAGGAAACTATACAAACAGATGTAGTGGGTGTAACTTTTCATTCTCTCATACAATGTACACAGTCATTGTAGTCTGCCCCCCCATCCCCCCCACCCCCGGTGAACAGGAACTCACACCAGGTATCTATTTTAAGGACCATGGATTCAGTCTTTACTATAAAACAAATGATGAGCTTGCTTTGAAGAAGGAACAAAAGAGCTTAGAAAGGCAAACATTAAAATGTGGGTGCTTAATCTTTTTTTTTAAACAAACAACATTTTACTGAATATAACATAAGTAAAATCTAATACAAGATGAAAATATGAGAACTCACATAAAAGAAGAACAAATATTTGTGAATATATATTAAAAATATTCACAATTGTTTCAATTCCTTTGTGAGTGTTGCACAATGTAGATCAAAACGTATGCTCTTAAAAAAAATACGCTCTTAAAATTAAAGGTGAGTAAGAATATACTTAACTACATTAATTTCTATTTCGCAGGTTTTTTTTTCTTTTTTTTTAGTACAGTTGACACACAATGTTACCTTAGTTTCAGATGCACAACATAGCGATTCGACTTCTCTATAGGTTGTGCTGTACTCACTGTAAGTATTTGGTGCTTAATCTTAATACCCATTAATGTGGGTGAAGGGTCAGTGAACTGTACAGTCCCTGGGCCCTGTTGTCATATACTTCACGGCTAACAATGGCTTTTACGGATGGGCATCTACAGTCTGTGTGATGTTAGGGGACACTAACTTTGAAATCCAATTAAGTGAAATCTCCTCCTCCAGAAAGAATCCCATTGTTTTCATTAATTAATCCCACCTATATTACAACACATTGTACTCGGTTATTAATTACTCCACTCTTGGTTTTTGTCGGTAAGATTTTGTGGAAATTTGTTTTTTCTCTTATCTGTCAGTACCTGCACAGTATCCTTGATTTTTCCCCCTTGCCCCATAAAGCCTAAGATATTGAATATCTGACCCTTTACAGAAAAAGTTGCCAACCCCTGATACAGATCAGGTTATACTGTTACTTCTCTGTGTGGCTTTGCTGAGGAATTGCTGAACTGTTCTGTGGCTCATGGCACAGAAACCACAAATATGCACTTGCCATATTCATCCTTAGCCTGTTACTTCAGTTTATAACGACTGTATAGTGCTTGGATCACAGACCTAGAGAGCTTATGTTGTTATTTCTTATTTACATTTCTTTTTACTTCGTGTTACTAGCTGGAGAACTATTGCTGTTGTCCTAGAACGTGCCATACAAGGTAGTGCGGTGTTTTTCTCATTGCGTTTGGGGTATTTTGCAAATGAAAACTTCCAACAGGAGAAAACCGTATTCCCGTAAGTTTCTCCTTTCTGAATAAGACAGCGTGACTCCCGCAGCACACGCGGATCCAGTTTATTAGCCCCGAGTGGCAGCAGCGGATCCGAGGACACATTATCATTTGGCCTTAGAACCAGATCTTCTTCTTCGGTCCCCACAGGCCTCAGGGGGGCCATGGCATTTGCGCTGGCCATCCGAGACACCGCATCCTATGCTCGCCAGATGATGTTCACAACCACGCTCCTCATCGTCTTCTTCACTGTCTGGATCATTGGTGGAGGCACGACCCCCATGCTGTCATGGCTTAACATAAGGTAGGTTTGAAACCACGGCCAGTTTTGCGACTAACACGGGGCGGGCGGGGGGGTGGGGTGCGGAGACAGCTTAGTGAGTGGAAGGTTCTTACGGGGTTGGGTTTGGTTTGGGGGTGGGATTGAAAATAAAAAGCAATAAGTAACACTTCAGGATATTGACTTTTCCACAAGAAAAAAAAGGTGGGCATGAAAATTTCTGTCAGTGCGAAAACACAAGGCCTTAGAAACACCTGGACCTTGCTAGAACAGTGACACTAGGGCAGGAATTCCAAAGTCTTAAGCCTGCAGGCAAGAGAACGGATGGTAACTGCCGGCAGCGCCTGGCATTTCATGTTCCTTTGCAATCACAACTCCAGCCTTCGAAACAGGCTCATCCGCCAGAAGTGAAAAGAGACGATTAGAGTTTTGTTTCTGGGAGGAAACTGTTTGCTCTGTCTCTTCTTGCTCGAGCGTACAAAAGAGGTGACATTTCCTGCGTCACCCTCATTTGTTATAGCCTCATTGAAGTCCCCTGCCTGTGGTTTTGCAGCTGGGTCAGCACGGAGAGCGCTGACCTAAATTTGATTTTTTTTTTTTTTGAGAGCGTTTGAATACCAGGGGGTGCTGGCGAGCTCCAGCACCTTAGGATAAGGAGGACACTAGAACAGAGCACAGGAGTCCCGGAGCCTAACTCTGGCTCTGGTTCAAGGCAAGCCCTTCCTGTCTTTGGGCCTCAGTTTCCCCTAATATTAAGTGAAAGCATGCCGTCAGATCTTCTGCAGGCCCCTTCAGCTCCCAGTGTGTGTGCTCTGCCTCATTGGAGGCGCCCCCACCACCTCCCTCAGTGTGGGGTCCGCGGAGGATGAACGTGATCAGAATGTGACAGGGCTCCGGGCGTGCGTGGGTGTGAAGAAGAATTCTCCGAGAAGCCACAAGGTGGCACCGTGTTTTTTGTTTTTTGGTGGTGGTGGTTTTTTTTTTTTCCTTTCTCTGCTGGCTTTCAGTTCACATTCCCTTCTCTGGAGTATAGAATGCCCCAGACTGACAGCTGCAGAGCATACCTAGCTTGGAGGAGAGAGAACCTACAAAGATCTCGTAGTCATCCTTAGAGTCGGTTTTGGCGGGGGGGGTACTGAAATTTGGGAGAAAACTGGAATTGGAAAGAACAGTCTTCACCCCGCCCCGTCCCCCCCTTCCCAACCCCATCAGAGACTTTTGTCTTGATGACAGGAGGGATTCCTGGGCTTGTCCTCTGCCAGCCGCACCATTTCCAGGCTAGCAAGTCTCAGCCTCACATCCTTGTGGGTCTGCAGAAGCTGCTATGTGGGGCTGATCAGTGGCAGTCACATGATAGCTAACACTTGTGTGATGCAGGCCTTGTACAAGATGCCACACCTATATTAAGACAATCTTCACAACATTCCTATGGAGGAGCTACTACTATTATCTTCATTGTAGAGTTGACAGAACCGAGGCACAGAGCAATAACTTGCCCAGGTCACAGAGCTGTAGGTGGATGAGCAGGGATTTGGGGCCTGGCAGTCTTGCCACCCAGTCCACAGTCTGAACTACTGTGCTCTCCCACCTTTGAGAAGGTTGACGGTGTTAGCGACTGCCTCTGTGTCGTGAAATTTGGGATGATCAGAACTTCGAGTTCCTGGTATGAATCTCAAGATTTGTGTTAAGGAAACGAATTCATCATGGCAATATGAACCTAGAGAAGAAAATGGACAGATTTTTGGCTCTAAACCTGACACATACAATGGTACCATCTTTGTTCTGTGTTAGAATAAGAGTAAAAAAAAAGGCTTACCCTGAACACTGCTGAGGATCTTTAAGAATCTCGAGATCAGGGGCGCCTGGGTGGCTCCATCCGTTAAGCATCTGCCTTTGGCTCAGGTCAGGATCCCAGGGTCAGCGGGGAGCCCGCTTCGCCCTCTCCCTCTGCCCCTCCCCCGACCCCCCTGCTCATGCTTGCTCTCTCACTCACTCTCAAATAAATAAAATCTTAAAAACAAAAGAATCCCCAGATTGACTTCTGAGATTACTTTCTGCTCCTATTTGGTCTCTCAGGAGGCACCCTAGATCCTCAGAGCCTGATTAAATCATGTTTGTTTTTCATGCTAGTTTATGAGCCCTCCCACACACTACACACATATATAGGACCAAATAATTTCCCACCGAGAGGGGAGAGTTGACTTGTGACTTTTTGCACTTCTGGTAACCCTTTTCAAAATTCGGCCATGAAAACTGTCCTATCCAGAACTGAGAGAGTGAGTAGCTTTCCCTGAGGCACACGGCTGTATATACAAATATAACAACTGTACTGTTGTGGAAATATTGATGTAACGTGTAGATAACACCTAGACCATAGCAGCTAGCGCAGTGAGGGCTCAGGAAATGACGATGTGTGTGACTGGGTATAGGAAAAATCTAGTTTCTCCACATCCTTGCCAGCATTTGGTGTTGCCACTATTTTTCATTGTAGTTGTTCTAATAGGTGTGTGGGGATACCTCGCTGTGGCCTTACTTTGCATTTCTCTAATGACTAATGATGTCAAGCATCTCTTCGTGTGCATATTTGCCATTCATATATCTTCTCTGGTGAAACACCTGTTCAGACTTTTTGTCTATTTTTTTTTTTTTACTTTTTTTTTTTTT